TTAAGTCTCATTACATTGCTGGAAGTGTCTGCAGGCTAATTACTGCTAATTTGTGTGAACATGGCTAATGTGCTATCAGAAAGGAGATAGGGCAGTTTCAGTGGATGAAATAGATTGACTTCAGCAGAAAAGAGCTGGGAATAGTTACGTAAAGTAAGGGTTACTTTGAACACTAACTATTCTGGTAGTAACTTAAGTACCAAGATCAGTGAAGAGAAAGCTTTCAAGAATTCACAGGGAGGTTTTGCCTTTGTGAACAACCAGACAATGTGCTTTCAGTCTCCCAGACTTGCGTTAATGTACCTTGAGCCCTAAAGGCAGCAGAATCCTGTGCTGCTGCAAGCCTCAGCGTGGAGCTCTGGGTCTCTTGGAAAAGTGGGATTGCTCCTCGAGTCTGAGTCTTTGTAAAGCTGCACCTGGGGCCTGTGCTTCTGAGAGGTGGGAGCACTTGAGCCCTCAAAAGTAAAGCCCCCTCTGATGTACTGACATACAGGTCAGTTCCAAAGTCAGATTTATCTAAACAAAATAAGAAAAACAAAAGCAAACAAAAACTCATGCAAAGGCAAGAAACATAAACAAGCAAACAAAAAAATCCCAGTCTGTTCCCTCCAACCCATCCTTGTAAATTAGCCAGCTTATGAACTTTGCTTTCAGAGTTCATTTTGCAGTTTACCTGATTCTTTCTGTCCCTGCACAGCCATTGCCAGCCTGCTCTCCCCTTCAGCCTATAGCAAACAGAACCAGAAGGTGCAGAAGTTATCTGCTTTTAGACATTACTTAGAAGGATGGATATTTGAGGTCTCCTGCTGCTAAGCAGCAGATTGTTGTTTGTGCTTGGTATATTGGACTGTAAATTCACTGAAAGCAACTTGGAAAACAAGAAGTGTGTTCTCAAACACACGCTAGCGGTGTCTGTGTGAGGTGTTGAGTATTCTCCACTGTCAGCATGTTGTCAATAAGTTTTGGGAAAGCAGTATAAAAATAATCAAACATAAATAGTGAGAGAGAAAGGGGAACAGTACTGCACCTGTGACTCAAAGATGTGGAAAAGAAATTGTTTGAATTGATTAGGAAATACAGAGAATATTGCAGTTATGGAGATTTTATTATTATTATTTTGCATCCCAGTGATGACAGCTTTGGTTAATAAGCATTGTGTATATAATCAATAGAAAGCTGTTGTTATCTCTAAAACACTGCCTGCTGAATAGATAAGCTTAAAGTGCTATAAGCACAGTGATGCAAATTTAGGATGCTCGAAAACCAAAATTTAACTGGAGGGTTGTTTGTTGAGAGTACCTGTATAGAAACAATCGGAGCATTTATCTATACCTTCCCTGTAAAGATGACCCACCACAGAGTACATGTAGCTCCCACTTAGAGGTAGATGGAGCTCTGGCTGCTCACAATGGGCTTTTGCATCTTATAATAGATGAAGTGAGAGAAGCAAACTCTCCCTAAGAAATAGCTTTATTCACAGTGTTTTTGATGGGATAGTAATAATATACTTAGCTGATGAGATTATTATTTTCTTTTTATTCCAGTTATTCAGATAAACTGAATTCTTCTCATTGTGACTCGTGTTACAAAGCAGAAAAAGCTCACTAGGTCCTTCTCCATCATTATGCAACAGAAAAATGCAATAACTCAGGCGGATATGGAGACAGGTCACACCTACACACACAAGAAGCCCCACTGAAAACCCATCACTTCCATGGAAGATACAACAGATACAAAGAACACAATAACACTATTTGATAGAGCAAATTCTCAGCTACAAAAAAAAAAAAAAAACAACTGTTTTTCAGTAATAATCACCACCTTTAGCTATGCATTGTCAGCAATGAAGAAAAACCTGCATGCTATGCTTGTTAAAATCTGTACCAGCAGAGTTGACTCTCTGTATCACAGTTGCTATGATAGTGCTGTTGCTTGGACAATGTTGCCCACACGGTCCATCTTTCATCAGCCCAAACAGATGGAAGTCAGAAGGTGTCAAATCTGGACTGTCTGGTGGGTGTGGTAGCACAGTTCAGCCAAGATTGGCGATGCACTCCACAGTCTTCAAACTGGTAAAGGGACTTGATGTTATTGTGTTACAAGAGAAATGTTGTTGTCTTCTCTGGCCTGACCCTGGGAGTTTGAGCCTTCAGCTTAGTGTTATGATATGGTGGCCAGAGTTGATGGATTATCTGTGTTCCAGGAAATCCAGAAGGATTGCTCCTTTCCTAATTGTATGGGAACTGTTGAGTCACGGCCTGAGCCACTGATTGATCACCTGAGGCATGGACTGGGTCAGCCATGGGAGCACAGGTGAAGGTGGTTCAGTTGTGTGACCAGAAGGCTCCTACACCCCGTTTAAGGGCTGACTACTGCTGTGGTGTTACAGCTGTGCCATGGCTGCCAGGAGCATGGCTTGTCTTTCACGTTGCTGTCACTGCTGCTGACATGCAACACTCAACTCCTCAACATGCTCACATCCACTGTTTGGTCTCCAGAAATGATCTGCAAGCATCAATGATTGACAGTGGGTGCCATAATTTCCATGTGCACTTGCATAATGCCACACAAAAAAAAAAACCAAACCAACAAAACAACAACAACAAAAACCAACTCAAAACGTGTTACTACTTGTAGGAACATCATTTATCAAAAATGATAGATAATAATTTAAAGCCAATAGGACAGAATTTGCTTGATACTTACTTAATGTTCTCTTGCAACATTCTTTACAACTGACCGTATCTGTAATGCTTTTCTTTCCACCTCATTGGTAGAGTTTCTATCTGCCACATTCTGTCTGTGTTACACCAAATCTAGTGTTGCACATGGGAGTGGTAAAAGTTATCACAGACATTATGATTAAATGATTAAATAGGTTCAAACTTGAAAGAAAAATTGTAGATTTCATTTTAAGGAGAATGAATATCTTTTGGCTTGTGAGAAATAGTTTAACTAGAATGTTCATGCTCTGAACATTTTGATACCCTTTGTACTCATACTTTTTCCAGGAGCATTTCTATGGTGGGGATGGCTGAGAAGATTGTACCCTTCCTTTGTTTACCCGATCTTGAGAGATCCCACCACCAAATTGTGCTTAGCATTTGCTAGCATTTCAAATGCTGGCACCAGCAGCTGTCCTCTGATGAGCTCGTTCTCAAAGGTTCCATCTCCACTGATGCATGCAGGTATCCATACTGGCTGGAACACAAAAGTAGTGTTTATCCAAATGATATGCCAATGGAATAACCCCCAGCACTGTCAGGCTATCTCAGTTTTTGTATACTGAGGCTAGGGTGTCTACCAGAGTTTGTGTTATGTATTAGGCCTGATTTCTCTGCACCTTCAAGAAATCTCAGCTACTCTTTTGAATAGGCAGAGGAAATTATGCCGATAGGTCTTCCCTTGCACAGGGCCTTAAAACCCATCTAATGTGTGCTAAAGTTGTCAGCCACAAGAGCAGCTGGAAAACATGATTGCTTTAGCAGCAGGTGTGTGGAGTGGGGTTTTGGGAACAGCCTGCCATTCCCTACACATGGGAAATACTCTCTTGAATGCTTAGTAAAAGAACAGTTACCAGGAACCCAACAATCCCTTTTTCCTCAGCCAGACTCCTCTGCTGATCACTATTCCCCAGAAAATTTGCCTATTTTTTTTTACTGATGCAGTTTGGTTTGGTGTCACAGAGTCGCAGAATAGCCAGAATTGGAAGGGACCTCAAGGATCATGAATCTCCAACCCCCCTGCCACATGCAGGGCCACTGACCTCCCCATTTAATACTAGACCAGGCTGCCCAGGGCCCCATCCAGTCTAGCCTTTAACACTCCCAGGGACGGGGCATCCACAAGCTCTCTGGGCAGCCTGTTCCAGCACCTCAGTACTCTCACAGTAAAGAACTTCCCCCTGACATCCATCCTAAATCTTGCCTCCCTCAACTTAAAACCATTTCCCCTTGTCCTGCAGTTATCTACCCTCTCAAAGAGTTGACTTCTCTCCTGTTTGTAGGCTCCCTTTAGGTATTGAAAGGCTGCAATGAGGTCACCCCGTAGCCTTTTTTCTCCAGGCAGAACAAGCCCAGCTCCCTCAGCATGTCTTCATAGGGGAGGTGCTCCAGCCCCCTAATCATCTTCGTGGCTCCCCTCTGGACCCTCTCCAACAGCTCTCTGTCTTGTACTGGGGGCTCCAGACCTGGATGCAGTACTCCAGATGTGGCCTCACAAGAGCAGAGTAGAGGGGGACAATCACCTCCCTGTCCCTGCTGGCCACCCCTCTTCTGATGGAGCCCAGGATACCATTTGCCTTCCTTGTTGCAAGAGCACACTGCTGGCTCATGATAAGCTTTTCATCCATCAGGACTCCCAGATCCTTCTATGCAGGGCTGCTCTCAAGGACCGCTCCTTTCAGTCTGTCAGTCTACTGTGGCAGTCTACTTCATTGTGTCAGAATGATGCAAAGATGACTTGGCAAGGCAAAGAGTCTGTCTCCCATTCTGTGTGCACACATATACATGTGCTTGTATTTCTACAAGAAATGGCCACTGGCATAGGGGCAATATAGCCACAGATATTAAATTTACTATTTTCAAAGTTTTCAAAGTAGGACAAACATTTAGAACTGGTAACATGATCAAGAATCAATGTAATTTTCCAATTTGAGCAAAAATCTTTTATTATTTATAAGCCATGTGTGCCCAACCTTAAAATAATTCTTCTAACAGTATTTACCTTTCATCTAGGAACCAAGGAGATAGCTGAAGAAAGTTTTGATTAAAAAACATCTTGAATATTTTCAGGCTGGCAATCAGTGTTTGATATCCAAAGCCACCTGCACAGTATTAGTAGCAATTAGAAATCTCACTGTAATTAGATCTCACTTGTGACGGAACATCAGGCAAAGTTACCTCTACTTCTGCTAATATTTATTGCTTCCATAAATAAGAATTTTATGAAGGATGCTCATTTTATATGTTGCAGGATCACAAACTTATGTATTTGTGGGAGTCTCTGTGGCGCAATCGGTTAGCGCGTTCGGCTGTTAACCGAAAGGTTGGTGGTGGTTGGTGGTTCGAGCCCACCCAGGGACGAGCCACTCTTTCTGGGCTGCATCAAAAGAGAAGCGGCCAGCAGCATGAGGGAGGTGGGTGTCATTATCCCTCTCTACTCTGCTATAGTGAAGCCCTGCCTGGAGTTTGGCATCCAGGCCTAGGGTCTCCAGCACAAGAAAGATGTGGAACTTTTGTTTTGGAGAGAGTACAGAGAAGGGCCAAGATGATGATCCTCCTGCTGGAGCACATCTATACTGACAGGTTGAGGGAGCGCGGCTGGCTGAATCTGGACAAGAGAAAGCTCCAGGGAGACCACATTATGGCCTTCTAATACTTAAGTGGAGCTTATAAGCAGGAGGGAAATTAACTTTTTACACAGGTAAATAGCGATAGGGCAAGGGGCAACAGTTTTAAAGGAGGGAAATTTAAATTAAATGTTAGGGGGATATTTTTCACTGAGAGAAAGATGAGGCACTAGAATTAGTTTCCCAGAGAGGTTGTGGACACCCACTCCTGGATATGTTCAAGGGTAGATATATGGTCCCCACACCTTTGTGGCTTTCTGTATCATGTCAGGTGGTATGGAATAACACTGGGCCTAATTCAGGCCACCTGTCTTGACTCTGCCTTGCCTCCCCCACTGCTGTGTTGTAAAGTCAGTGGTGCTTCAGCTGCTCAGCATTAACCAAGATATCATTGTGATACTAATGGTGTACCAGCTGAAACCTGGATAATATTTCTTTTGTAGTGTTTATGCAGCTTTGAAAGTCTGTATTATGGAATTTAAAAAATGTATGTACATCATTGGTGAAGACCAGGTAATGTCATTTTGGTACTGTTTTGCTTTTCTTTAAGGAAGCCTTGTATGAGAGTGCGTTAAGTGAATGCTTTTTTTTAATTCTTGTTTCTTTTTCCTGATTGAATACTTTGAAAGTAGAGTCATCTGTGTGCCAGTGTCAGCTGGTCTACTATACTGAGTAGGATTCAGAAAGTGATTCTCAGGGTGGATTTAAAAGTATTACTCTCTTATGGAATAAACTGGGGTACTGTATTGTTTTGTTTCCAAAGCAGTTACTGTTCTGACTGTAGGTGCTAATGTAAAATTTAGTGAGAAGTCTATTAACTTGTAATCTGATTTCTTTCTAAATTTCTCTAATACACTTAATAAAACCTTATGTAAGAACACAACTAGTGAGGAAGGAATTGCACAAAGTTCAGATTATTATTATTATTATTTTTTTAATGTTATAGTATCAGAGAATGATTCTTGTTTACAGAAACACTGGAAATGATTGTTTAAACTGTCTTACTTTGTTCTGCCCTTGACATTCCTGAGAAATAGGGCTATGGGATTAGGAGCATTTTGAGTCCTGCAATGAGATAATTATCAAATTGCTAGGAATAGGAAGTGGTGGTTTGCTTTTTGTAATGGGTATCCATAAAAGCATTATAGCCTAAAGATACTTCCAACTGGAGTTTTGCTTTTCACTTTGTGTGAAGGAGCTTGTCGTGGCACACAATCATGTTGCCCAGGGCTATGATAGCCCCCTGGCTGTTGGTGGCAGTTCTAATTCGAGAAAAGAGTGGACAGACTTTTTTGCTAAGTTCTTCCAACTGCCATGTGTGGCAGCTTTGTTCTTGATAATGCATGTAACTAAAGACCCAGCCTGCTTGGCAGCTTTTATAAGATTTCAGTAGGCATAATCACAATGATAAGCTATACCTTACCTGTCCCTAGAACTGTAGCTATTCCTGATATATATTCTTGATATCAGCTATTCCTGATATTAATTTTGACTAAATTTGTTTGCTCAGGACAGTGCTGAGTGGCAGCTACTGTAAACAGTGTTATGATTGAGGAACTATGGCACTCTACCATGCTTCAGGTGCAGCAGTAATAATACCTTTTCTGAAATAAAATCTTTTAAAATATCTTCTAGGAATTTGATGACTGCAAAGATGGACGTAAAAAAGTTACAGAGTATCTCATGGAGAAGAGCAAATGGGAAATCTGCTCAGAAAACTTGGTTAGGAGTTGTAGCACAAATGCTAAGTCATGGCTTGAACCAGTGATTGAGCACCTAGGGGGGAGGCAGGACCAACCCAGGGGAGCTCAGGTGTATGCAGTGTATGGGAAGGGGTGCAGCCAGAATCCACCCATTCCGAGATCTCATTTAAGTGTTGGTAGTGGAGGCAAGGGTGTCTTGCTGGAGATCTGTGTGTACTTAAGTCATTCTGAAGGTGAGAGTAGCTTTCTTTTATTTCTGTGCCCATAGCTGTTACCTTTGAGCAAATCTTCTCTTGCTGTATCCTAGGACTTTGCTGCTCTACTGTTATTGCTACACTTTCCATCATGTTACAGGAATCTATTTAGAATAGGGTCAGATTTTTTTTTCAGAATAAAAAAATAAAAATATATATTTTTTTCTATTGCATGTGCCTCCACGTCATTCTGTAGTAATGCTATATGTAAGATGTTTCACTACAAAGTTTTCTTTTTTTTAAGAACCAGCTATAGTTCTAGGCATACCACATATATGATGGATGTATCTGACAGCATAACAATTTGTTTTGTTGTTAGCCTGAAGTTAATAATAAATCTGCTTGTTTAAGAAATACAGTAGTTGAAAACCTTGGTGCCAGTCACAGTATCACAGCACGCTTCTCATTGGAGAGAGGTGAAAGATGTATATGAGCTACAAACCATAGAGGCAGCTAGCATCCACAGTTTTCTCTGGAGAGAAACAAGCAGGCAAGAAGTGGTAACACTTATTATTTATTGTCTTGAGAAATTCTTAACTTACCATCTGTGTCACCTTCTCTTTCACATTAATTTTTCTCATTTGATAGCATGGTGAATTTATATTGTCAGTTCCATACATGCATATTGCAGATCTTATGGTATCTTTTATCACTAGATCGATGCACGCTATTGTATGATTAGGATTTTCGTCTTATGCTTTCATTTTTATATCTGATTATATGTTGGCTTTTTATTATAGTGATTTTTATGCCTTCAATCCATTAGACATCTTAATATCCTTGGAGTTTACTAAACATTGTCCAAGCAAGTGTACTCAAAGGTTAACGTTTAAGTTGTATAATAATAGATAATTAAAGAATTCATGTGGTCCTATTCTTCATATATCCTCTCTTCTACTTTCTGTCTCTGTGAACTTGTGATTTGTTACTCATTTTGTATCATTAGTTTTCTGTTAAGTTACTTATGTTTAAAGTATTTTAACCCATTTTCTATCTTATTATGCATTGCTTCTTAATACTGGTATGGTCTAGATATTATATATCTACTTCATATGTTGAGTTTTGAAGAAATAGTTCACTTGTCTGTAACTCCTCCTTAGAAAGGGAAGAAAAGGGGTGTGAATAACTTATCATTAACTGTTCATATCTTTAAAGAGCGCATTCTCCCCTCTGCTTTTCCACAAATATTCCTTCAGCATTTTCTTGGAAAGGAGAAATGGAAATAAAAATACTTGGGACTATTTCTTGATTGGTTCCATTCTGTGAAACTTCAGAAGGCTATTCTGCAGCCTACTTCTTGAAGTTCTTGGGACACAAAATATACCCAAACTACTGCTGTCTTCAGGGAAACAAACCATCTTTTCTACCTATAACTGATGATTTGTGGAGGAAAGGAATTAAAATTTTTGTCCTGTAGTTTAGCATTTTACCTTCTGGCTTTTTTTTTTCATTTATTTTCTTTGCTTACAGTGCTTTTTCCCTGGTGGGGGGAGGGGGGGGGCGGAAGAAAAGATTAAGGAGCAGAGAGCAGATTCTGTGCAGTTATACTCTGAGTTCACATCCATCTCCACCTATTGTAAAAATATTTAGTTGTCACAATGAAAGTTAGGCACAGGGACTTTATCTTCTCTTTGGTTTCTGGACATGCATGATATACTAATGAGTATATCTAAGGCTAGGTTTTCTTAGCTCAAAACTGCAAGCAAAAAAGTGATATTTTTTAATGTGTAGTAACTTGGGAATTAAAGGAAGTTTAACTCAACATGTTTTATTCATAAAAAGTAGCGCTACTTGTACAAAAATCACGTGCATAATGGCATGAGGAATAATGTGTTGGGGCTTGGCCCAGCTGGCTGCCAACCTCACACCAAGTTGTCTACCTCTCTGCCTTGCCTCAGCAGGCTTGAGGAAGGGAAAAAATATGAAGAAATAGGGAGATCAATTACACCACAGTTATACCCCATCTCTTCAGTGATACAACAAGCAGGGCAGGGTGGCTGCAGTCAGGACAGTTCATTGCATAGCAGTTCATTGCTGCTGCTGCTCCTTGTTCTCATCTGCTCCATCACAAGTCCATCGCAAGTTTGTGGTATGAAGGAACTGGGTTAGTGGGCAATGTTAGTGGTAGGTGGATAGTGGGACTAGACAGTCTTAGAGGTCTTCCTCCAACCTTAATTATTCTATGATTCTAAGTCTTCCATGGGCTTTGGTCCCTCCAGGAACAACTGCTTCATCACTGACCATCTCCTCTTCCTGTTTCCATTCTTTTGCTTTGAGTATTTTGTGCCTTTTCTTAAATATGCTTTTGAAGTTGTGCCCCAGCTTGGCTGATGTACCAGCTGCATCCTGCAGTGGGGCTTGTGGAGCTGTATGAGATGTGGTGTCTGCTCAGGGCAGCCTCAGCCTCTCCTCGAGGAGGCTACACCTGTAGCCTCTCTGCTACCAGCAGACTGCCACCTACACTCAATGCAGGTACACAGCGTGAATGTCTTCATTAAAGCTGGTAGCACTTGTGACGGTGACCCCTTTGGGAGGTATTACTGGGGACTTTCTGGGAGCAGTGAATGCTGGTAAGTAAAGACAAAGGCCAGATAGATTTCCTAATTTTCCCCGTGCTGAAGGCACAGAAAACGAAATGCTTGCTTTCCTCACACTTTACATTTGTGAGCCAAATACAGCTGAAACAGTCCAGAACTGTACATGTAAGATTTAGTATGGACTATTAGATGGAGGCTGCCATTCCTCTGTGATTACTGAATTTTCTATTTCATGCCTTT